AGTATAGACCTGCTGGTCTATTAATCTTTCTTTTATTTCATATTATATTTATATAACTTATTATTAATCTTGACTACTGTTATAATTATCTGTAACAACATGTTTAACTATTTTTATTAAATAAGTTTTTCTTAAATCTCTATCTTAAGTCTTTTTTTAAATTATATAATATATATATTATTATCCTAGTCCAGGTGACTGATAACTTATAAGAATTTAGAAGCATACTTAAATACTAATCTAGTATATCTAAGTTATTATAGTTTTTATTTAATATTATATGCCGCATTGATATCTCTGAATATCTGTTTAAGATATTGCTTAAATCTGGTGTAACTGGTAAAGATTTATTTAATATTATTATTCTGATTATTTACTGACTTTTCTTGATACTTATAGATATACAGCTCAAATTAATTAAATATTATTTTGATTAGATAGATGTATGTGAAAAGAATCTTATTAATCTTATTTTTAAGCTTTTCTCTGTTTATGCTGAGATGTAAGTCTAACTGGGTCAAGAAAGTCCTAAGCTTCGCTCAGTTGCTGTTGAATGGTTCCGGTGGTCAGACCTTAACAGACTTAATTACTAAGCAATATTTGAGTAACGTAATCGGTAAGCGAGCGGGCAGCCGTGCGCGTCAGTTTCGCGTTTTTCAAGTTGAAGTAATTCAACCATCAACAACTCCACCAAAAATGTCTCGATCGTCAAAATCTTTGGTGGAACAAGAAGGCCGAATTTGCCTTGCCATTGAAGCTATTCAGAAGGGCAAAATTTTGTTTGTAATAGAAGCTGCATGTATTTTTAATATTTTATAAACAACTCTTCAACGATGCCTGCAAGGAGTTCAATCTTGCTATAATATATGTACCAACTTTCATAAACTGACTCTTTCTGAAGAAGAGGCTTTAAAGAATTGGATTCTCTTACTTATAAAGCGTGGGCTTCATTCTCAACTGTTACATGTTTGGAGAATGGCTAATATCCTTCTTTAAAAGCATGAGTCAAATTCTACAGCCTTTGTTAGCAAGAAATAGGTATATAACTTCGTGAACTGCAATAAAGCTTTAAAGACTTGATTTTCTCAAATATTAAACTATCAACGTGTGAAGTGCAAGGATCTAAAGATTCTTAACAAGTGGTTTGCCCGGGTTGAAGCTGTTAAAGTAGAATATAGAATTCTTGATGAAGATATTTAGAATTTTAATAAAACAGGCTTTGCTATGAGCATGGTAGTTACAGCATGTGTAATTATATAATCTAACTGTATAGGCAAGCTGTTTCTTATACAGTCTGGTAACTGTGAATAAGTGATCTTAATTAAGTATATTAATATTACTAGTGCTGTGTTGACTCTGTATATGATTTTTAAAGAAAAAGTCTATATCAAGACCTAGCTTCAAGACTGTATTCTATATGATTAGTGTATCAATTTATTATTAAACGGCTGGACTTCTAATAAGATTGGCCTACACTGGCTTTATGAACACTTCATTCCAGCTACTAAAGACCAGCAGATTGGACGATATAGCTTCTTGATTCTTGATAGACATGACTCCTATTTGACTCCGGAATTTGATAATATCTGTAGTCAAAATAATATTATCTTTATCTATATATCTCTGTATTTTTCATATCTTTATTAACTGCTTGATATAGCTTGTTTCGCACTGTTAAAACAAGTCTACAGTGGCTTAGTGGAACAGCTAACTCGCCAAGATACTTATTATATTGATAAGATTGATTTCTTGGATATATATCCAGAGGCATGTTCTTTTACCTTCAAGAAATCAACTATATAAAGCGTCTTTAAGGCTTCAGGATTAGTACCGTTTCAGCCGGACGAGATGCTTGGCCAGCTTGTTTTACAACTACGGGAGGCTACTCCAACAGACAGTATAATCACTACGTCAACACTGCCAAAGACGCCCAAGAATATGAGGCAGTTAAAGAAGCATAAAACAACAATTAAGAGACATCTTTGTAAACATATAATTAGTCCTTTCTCATAGATAAAAGCAGCCTTAGCCTATATTATAAAGGGTTGCGAGATCGTCTTCAACCGGACTACCTTACTTAAAGAGAAAGTTAACAAACTACAAGCCGGGCTGGAGAGGCAAAACACTAAGAAGAAGAGATCATATTGTTAAATAACAGGCCTTAACAGCCTTACTATTAGTGAGGCTATAAACGCGTTTATACAGGCTTATAAGGCTGATAAAGTAAGTAATATCCAGCCAGTGGAATCAGCTGCAGAGAAAGAACAGCCTCGCCGCCGGGCACCGCCTCACTACAGTAACTATAATACAGTGGGATATACAAGAATAAGGTGTTCTACATGTCAAAACACCATGTAAGCACGAGATTTTACGTATATAGTGGCTAATAATTGCTTCATATTTTCATGGAAGTTGTGTTGGCGGGCGCGGCTGCCCGCTCGCTTACACTGCCCGCTCGCTTACCGATTACGTTAACTGATTCTGTTGTTTTAAGGCAGTGATACTTTCTTATAACTGACTAATTATATTCATCAGTTCTTGCATTATCGGGCCCTGCTGCTGTGGGGTGTGTGATGAGTTTGAAACTCTTAATATAATGGATGGTTATTACTAGTAACACTCGTGCTAACTGGTGTTTAATGTGTTAAATCCTAGGATTGCTTCTTCCTGTTCTTGTTAGCTTAGCTTCACTGGTATATGTATCTTTGAACTAAATTAAGGATGTATCAGACTGATGTTTATCTAAGAAGGACTGGTCTTGAACAAGAGAAGAGAAGTAAGACTGAATAGTGCCGCGCAGCTATCTGTAAGTGAGTATAGATAAGTATTATTGTTAAGCTTTCTAAATATATGGTTACTTAAAGATAGTATTATTAAGTATAAAGAACAGAACTGGCTAAGTACATGAAAGAGTGTCCTTATATATCTATCCTTTATATACTAAGTTATATACCTTCCTGTATATTGTATACCATATACTATATACCTGTTTGTATATTATTTCATATACCCATGGTCACGTGAGGCGTAGCTGTCCCGGGTGTCGGTTACTCAGATCGGGATTCTACTCAATAAGAGTTGCTGCCCGTCCGGACGTTGCCTTCTGCCTGACGAGTCCGCCTTACTAGTAGCTTTAACTAGCAGGGGTCCGTAACAGATATCTGCCTGAAAAATCACAATTTAATAATATAAAGTATTTACTTATGTTAAATATTAGATTATATTCTGAAGTTCCTGAATTTCCTTAACAATAAAAATATAAATAGTTATTAACTTTATATTATTTCTTACTGGAGTTTTCTGATTCTTTACTAGAAACCTAAGAAAATATATTTCTTAGATAATTAAAAAGAGAAGAATTAAAATATAATAAAATCTACTTGTCAGAATAGAGAATTTATTAATTAAATAAGAATTACAGTATAGAACAGTATAGATTAATAAATATAGTCTATATTCACTGAATAAACTAATCCATGAAGGATTAAGAAGAAGGATTTTTTATATTTACTATATAATAAAGCGCGGGATTCTATGATATACATAATAATAATCTTATAATTCTTACTATCTTGATACTGCTTATCCGGATATCTTAACTGTCATTGATGGTTGCCTATTAGGTAATGATCGCCATCCGAACCCGTTCTATCACATGATTATAATTTCTGGATTTATAAAGATGATATAGATACTCTGGATCTTATTTATCAATATAAAAAATGTTCTTAGTCCTGATATTTGATTTTAATATTATTATCTTTACTTTTTATTTTATATAATGAGAACATTGTCTTTTTTATTTATAGGGATATATATAACTGCTTTATTAGGACTTTTCTTTATATATATAGTAAAGATTCTCTATAATAATCTAATAGTTATCTAATATCATGATTTTATCTTCCTGCCAGAGATCTTTTTTATGTTTTTTATATCTGTATGTCAGTCTTCCAGTATATAGCTAAATTGACGGGCCCCCTTGCTCTTAGACAGATCATCATACTACTCCACATTCATTGTCTTTCTTGCTGAGCTGCGACATAATTATTTAATATAAAATAAAGTTATATTAGTATTAACTACTCTAGAATTTTAAATATAGAGAAAAAAAGAAAAACAGAAAGTATTACAAGCGTCTATTCAAGAAAAATAATATTGGTAACAGTAGAGCAAACAGAAGAAACAAAATAATATAAGCATTATATGATACTCAGCAGAGCTGCCGTCACATAGAGACTGTCTAAAAAATATAATTTTTTTTAAATATTATACAGAAACTCTTCAAGAAAGATTAACTATAAAAAAGACCAGTTTACTTATAGATAGATCATTCTCTCTCTAGCAAATTCAACTTTCATCTTACTGATCATTATCTCGAGTACTCCCCAGGCTTTTTAGCCCGTCACCTGTGTACCTGAGCATATAGGGGACTCTAGGAGTCCGCAGAGGTATCGGCGGGTAATGATGGCCTTATTTATGGTCCTGTCTTGACTTTTTACCCTAGAAGAGTTCTTTACAGAAAGAGTATGGGGATGACTTCTAGCAGAAGATAGGGCAGGCTGTATATGATGTCAGGCGATTGATGTGATTGACACCCGCAGAACACTACATACAGGAGCCGGACCCGCCGAAGCGGTCACACTCTAGAACTTTAAGCATGACAGGGAAAAAGAAATAACAGAAAGTATTATAAGTATGTATTAGAGATAAATAATACTAATAATAGCAAAATAAATAGAGTAAACATGATAATATAAGCATCATATGTTACGTTCATACCAGTAGGCCAAAACGGAAATCCGCTGGCCATCTGGAGAACAGACGGAACGAAGACTCTGTGTCCCAACATCATATAACACTGGACTTGGCTGCCGTCACAGTCCGCTGTGCCCAGGTGGAGAACAGGCGGGCGCATCAACAAGTACCCGTACCCTTATTTTGCCATGCGCAGTACTGTACCTTGACGAGCAGCTGCTACTCGATGTCCATTGTTCAGAATGGGAATACCATTTCTCACACGTCATTTATATCCATTTGCGGAGTCTGTTGTGCTAGGGGAGAATCAGGAGACCCCGCACAGCCAAGTAAAATCTGCTAGAGCTGTTGTGATAGACGGTCCAAGTCTTGTTTATCATGTCTCTATGCGCTTATTGTCACGGTCTGATCATAGCCTACAATACCCAGACTCACAGCCAACATGCGATCAAATAAGTTGCGGGGTCATGATTTATCTCTTACAATTGACCATCCTAGGTGTGAAAATGTACAGTATATGACTTGATGACTGCCCTAATATGGTCTTTTGGAGAAACTAATTCGTAGTAGACATAATATATGCTTCGATGGGGCATTGCCTGCTCAAAAACGGCATACGCGTTTTGTTAGACTAGAGAAGTCTAGGAGAAAACTCGAGCTGCTCCGGTCTAAACCACTGTGCGGCTTTCAGAGGTCTGGTAGCCCATTGAACATTCGCACAATTAACCCTGAGATCGTATTCCAGAAGCGGACTTTGCCTGCGAAGTATTATAATATTCCTGAAAGCCCTTTCATTGTCCCTGCAGTGTTCGAAGATCTCAAATACCGATGGTGCAGAAAGAATATTGCCAGCGTCGTCAAAGATGTCCCCGGACTCAATGTTGCTTCCTTGGATGATTTGCCATGGGCAGATATTTCCGTGATGGTCCCGGGAGAAGCGGACATGTACTGTGCCCACCTTGCTAGGCTTACAGGTTCTGCTATACTTACCAATGATTCGGATCTCTTACTTCATGATCTTGGGACATTCGGCTCTGTTGTACTTTTGGACTCGGTTGATCTATTCTCTCTGCCCCAAGGCCCGCAGATACGGGCCCTAAGATTATGTCCAGCCCTCGTCGCCCACCGGCTAGGCATGCCCAATCTGCTTCCTTTGGCATATGAGATAAAGAATCACCCTGATACTGGAATAAACCAGCTAATACAGCGCTCAAAGTGCATCGACGAATCTCCTGAATACATGTCCGGATATCATCTGTTCGCAGAGGAATACAAGAGCAATCCTAGTTTTGACCAGGAAGTAGCGTGTCAAAGCTATCCCCAGTGTTTTGATCCAAGAGTATCAGAGCTATTTTCTCTGTACGGAGTATGGAGTGCTCAAACATTCCAGGGACATCCGTACATGTATCTGGTTGTTCTGAATGAGGATCCTACGAGACAGTGTGCATGGGTCCAAGGCAAGATTTACAGAAATATGGGGTATTCGGCTCTCAATATATCATACCCCATCAATGAAAGGTATACCTTTATCGATGAGTATGTCAGGCGAGGGGGTAGAATTACAACTGACCGTATCTCAATGGGAGATAAGGGCTGGCTTTTGATGGAAATCCAGTCACTGTGTTGTACCTTGAACACCGTACATCATCATCTGGGAATCGCAATGGCTTCACCAGTCTACTGGAGAATGTTCGCGCTCTTTATAATATACGACGGGCAAACCAGGCTCGCAGTTCCCAGTAGGGAGCATCTATTGCGATTTCTAACATTGGGATACATGGGCAAGAAGCTAGAGTGGACTGATATCCATCTCCTAGCACAAATGCAGTCCGTGCTATATTCACTCAGAATTCTTAAGCAGTTACTGGGATTTGCGGGTTACACTGACGAACACACCTTACAAACAAGGGCTATATTGGATACATTACCTCCACTCTATATTCTGATGCGGTCAATACGCGAGATGAGCGAGGAATTCCACACTGAGTGCTCTGTCAGTGAACTTGTGAATCGACTTCTTCAGCTCATGGAACAAACCTCCTACAATGCAGACATTTCAACTTGCGGGACAGACTCGCATCAGTATGCAAATGATTCTGCAATGTCCACGGCAAAAATTAACGATTTCAGACCTAGTCTCCCGCGGAAGAACCCGTCAAACATATATGAACTTCTTTCGCAGCAGTGATTTATACATTTCAGTTTTGAATTATCACTTGATCCTTTGGTTGAGCAGAGAAGAATATTGATCGTCCTGATCTTTTTACCTAGCCACAAGGATGTATGTTTAACGTGTAGACCGCAAGAATCCCACGACTCCTCTGCAGTATCCCACCAGCCCAGCTAAGCGCTGTGCCTCTTGTTGCAGAGCTCGACTCCAATCGGCAAGGGCGGCCTTCAAAGCGTTGTTCTCATACGCATCTGTCCTAGAGCATTCTGCCACAGTATCGGCATGTATTCTTAGAAAGACTGCCATCCAAGCATTGACCACCTCAAAATCCCTCCTCAGTCCCAAGCGATTAGAGAGCGCGGTCACAAAGGCGGATAATTCAGAGTAACCGTCTCGCAACTGTGGATCCAGGGACCTGATCTCAAGATCTGCCTTTGTGGGTGGCATACCTTTCAAATGCTCCACAAAGAGGTCAAAATTGCCAGACTCATATCCCGAATGTAGGAGACTGGTGAAACGTGTGCTCGCAATTCCAGCAGTACTGTTCGAACTGTGCATTCGGGTGATTCGCGATCGCTCAGCAAGTGTACCTTCAATTGACATCTTGATATCACCATCTGTTAATGTTTGTTCAGGAGACGCCGGAAGGAAGAATGGTGCTTTCTGAGGAGCTTTCGGCGGAGTTTTTGGCTTATTTCGTTCCTGTTTATGGTCAGAAGCAACCCACAAACCATATTTGAAGAATATCCGCGACAACCAAAAGAAGGGTTAGAAATTACCTTGATTAAGTTCAACTGGAGCAATGTTTGCCATTTGCTCTTAGGAACGACGCTGAGAGTTACCATGTCTCCACTTAGCTGTTCAACGGATGGCAATGGGCCCTCTAATTCAGATTGTTCGAATTTCTCCGCGAACGCTGCCTCGATGACCCCAGGACCGCCTTCACTAGAAGACGTAGGGATACTGACATCGCCGATGAGGTGATCGTCCACATTTCGCGTTGAGATAGGTATAAACAAGCTTTTGTTGGACCAAAGGCTGATGCCTACCCCGTCTGCATGTGCAGTAGCCAAGAACTCACCCGTTGAAGACATCGCCAGAGAAGTACACGTACTTGAGACGCGAAAAACATCAATGAGATGCCCCGTCGGTAAATCCCAGACGCGTATCGTAGAGTCCATAGAAGCAGCGATTATCCAGCGTCCATCATTGGAAAACGTGAAATCATTTATTTGTCCAACACAGCCCCAGAATTCGCGAATGACTTTCCTGGTCTCCACGTCAACAACACGGATTGAGAGGTCGTCGCAGCTGAATGCAACCAGCTCGTTTGTGGGGCTGATTCGAAGTCCATTGATAGACGTCATGGGATACCAGTCAAGCTGATCGATGAGTCGTCCAGACACAAGATTCCAGAACTATATTTATGAAAATGAAAATCGAGTAAGTCTTTATACCAAGAAATGTGGAAACTTGACCCTACCTTGACTTTCCCGTCGAGTCCACAACTAACAACCGTACGATTAAGCCCATCAATCATAAGACCGGTGACAGCCTTGGTATGTTTCATATCGTGATTTTCAGAGACATGCTGGAATCTAGACTTCTCTTTCAAAGTCTCCTTGAAACTGGCTGTTGGAAAGCTCTGCCTGTGCAAACCAGATTGCATGTTGTACATATCAATGGCACCTCCCGCTGACCCAACCATTGCAAAGGTGCCGCAACTAGATATCGCAACGCTCTATCGCATGCAGGTTAGGGACATATTCTTCATTGTACTCAATAGTCTGCTTACCTTGACTTCGGCTTTGTCGCTGGTTTCGAACGCCCAACGCCCGGCTTTCTTCTTACCCCAGAACCATGTCCGGGCATATTTGTCCCCACGATGGCCCGTCACTATACTTTCCCAGCCCGTTTTGCTAGAATCGTCTGCCCTGGTCGCTTTTGGATTCGTCCAAATAGGGCCAGATGTCGTGTTCCCCATTCCGCCATCGCGGTTCAGGGAGCAGGCGATACACGTGATTTCCGGTGCTCGGAAGTCGCCGTCCATGTAAGTGTGAGTAGCTCCACCATGAGCGGTAGATGTGACTCTTCTTTTGGTTTTGTGTTCCACGGCTCCTTGAGATATTTCAGTGTTTTGACTATCTTTCCGTACACTGAAGCCCCAAAGGCTGCAGTCCTTGCTCGTGCTCAATAACCATTTACCACTAAACTCAGAACCGTCAGACGCGGAAGGCAAAAAGCTGAGGGTGGTGATAGCAGCTGAGTGCCCACTCCTTGAATGAAGAGGCCTTGGGATATATGAAAACGGGATCTCGTCAAATATCCATGTCTTGAGAGAGTTGTCTTTCCCTGATGAGACCATCACTGGCTGACCGTCCAGGAACTGGATATGACTTATTCCTGATCCTGACTCGCCGGCGAGTGTTCTATGTGCTCGACGCAGAATACCCACCGCCCTGCCCCCGTTGTTCAGGTCCCATATAGTTATATCACCGCTATCCATGCAACCTGTCGCCATCATGCCAGGAGACCGACCGTGTTCGCCGGCTCCTAGGCCGTCATGTCTAAAAGCGAGAGATGTAACACATGGCATTTGTTGAGAGTCGGTTCGCAGGGAGATGATAAGTTGGCCCGTTTCGATGTTACAGATCGATAGCATACCACCCTTGTATGCGATGGCAATAAGTGATAGCGCGGGACTTGGTTGAAGAGCAGTCACAGCACCTGCTTGTGGAGACACTGGTAGCATTGAATATATTAACTTTCCTGTCTTTACATTCCAAATGTCAACTTTTCCATCGTATCTGCCGACGAAGATCTTGTTGAGATAGGTCGGCATATTGCAAATTTGCCCAGTATAGACCGGTCCCTCGGACAGATCCTTGACGCGCTGAGGACTGAGAGTGGTGTAGTGTTGATATGATGTATTTTTCCACACTTGGATGTACTTGCTGCTGGAGCCAATAATCCATGAACCGAAAACAAGCAATCGGTCAATGGGCTCAGAGAATCCTGAAGGTAATTGTAGAGATGCAACTCTTTTACCACGCTTGAAAACCCATATACCTCCGCCAGACCCAGGGCGAAGGTTTCCCCATGCCGCAAAAATTCTATCTTGCCAAGCAAAAGTAGCAGTGATGCTCTCTGGTGTTTGAGGTCTGCTTATAAAAACCAAGTTGAGACCTCGCTTTAAATCGTATGTTTGCAAGCTGCGCCCTACAGATGTGGTGATCTGAAACGTCGATTTGCCTAGGCGCACACAGGTAAATGGAACATCGGTAGACACTAGCCCTAATGCCTGATAGGATAAAAATCAATATACATGGAAATAAAGCATTTGCGCGACAAAGGGACTGCACGCAAAAATGCTCTGAATAGCATCGCTTACCCGGAAGGAAGAAAATATCTTAGACCCAGATGCCTGAGATAGTCGTTCAACATCTTGACTAATTGTTCGCTTTTGCCTTTTCGCAAGGGGCAGATCAAACCCATCATTATTCAGAGACGGCATCGTGCAAAAATTTGATGCACAAACTTATGCCATCTATAACTGGAGGTATCAGAAGTAAGTACTATTGAAAAGACATGTTAGACGGAATTAATATATCTCCGGATCCCCGTAAAGGCTTTTCATTGGTTGAATATTTCATTGTTGCGGAATACTCAATCAGGCACCACATTACTTCGGCAATACCTAGTCGTAGGTATAGTTGAAAAATGAAAGATCGCGAAATAAACAGGACAGAGATGGACAGAATTTCTGAAAACCAAACTACCTGGATGCCTGCAATGCATAATAGTCTGAGGCGTCCCTAACCTTTCTATTAATCTCGCTAAAAGCGCGGCCAGTATTCTCGGTATGCCGGGATCTGTGCGTCGTATTGACCAAATTCCGAAGCAATAGTGGCACCACTATCCATAAGACCATGAAATGCATCTCGAATACCCAAGACTAGAAATACCCGGTCTACCATGTCTTTACGAAGTACATAATTCAGACAATTTTATTAAAGCATGGAGTACTTCATACTCTATAGTCTCGGAATACTATAATTCTAGAGCTACCATCGGGAAGTACGGAGTGGCACTCTGAACTTTTCCATCCTGAAGATGCCATCTTTCAAATGTACCGAGTTATAGGATCCTTGCAATAACCAACATTCTCCACTTACAATACTACATACAAGCAATAATTGAGATATACTGTGACATTATCTGTAGTGCAAGACATAATGCATAATGGATGGCATTCACTAGGTAATTGGTATATAGAAGGTCTCATTCTCATACTACCCTGCCTCTTTTATCGTTCCGTTTTCCGCCGTGGTTGGAACAAACCCGGTTGACACCTGAGTATTGAGGCTTGTCATGCTGCATATAAATTTTACCGAATACCCCATTTACCTATATCCAAAAGACACTTACCGAACACACACAGTACATAGTACTACACAGTATAGTACTACAGTACTACTACTTGAGTTCCAGGTACGTCACCGCTGTGGTGGCGAGCAGCAAAATAATAATAATAAGAATAATAATAATAATAATAATAACAATAAGTCGCGTACTTCTTCAGGAATGGGAATAGTACGTCATTGAATACCGACTTTGTCCTTCTTCCCGTGGCCAGAGCTTACAGTAGCTTCTACCGGCCAGCTACTGCTCATTTCACTATCATCCGATATTTTCATTCTAACGCCTGCCCGCACATTCAATGGAATCCAGCGCGCTCAACAATTGTTCCTCTGGCATTCCTGATCATACTGGCGCCGGTATGGAAGCAAAGCCGAAATCTCCAACATCACCGTCGAGTGCAGGCTCCGATCGGACAGACCAAGGCTCTTTCAGCCTACTATACGAGCCCACGGCCCCATGTTCTTCAAAGAGCAGTCTGAATAACGCACAAAGCCGCGGATCCAAGTCGTACAAGCCCGATGTTCCTTCCGACAATTGGAACAGTGGGCAAGTTCCCAACTCTTCAACCCGCTCATCTAGCCGAGCACACAGAAGGCTTAGTGGGAGTACAGCCGCGAGCTCCACCAGTGAAGCTGAACTTTCTGAATTACCGCATCTAGGGAGGATCGGTGTCTGTGCTCTGGATGTGAAAGCACGCAGCAAACCTAGCCAAAATATTCTGACCCGTCTTCAATCCAAGGGTAGGTTTGAAGTGATCGTCTTTGGTGATAAGGTGATCCTTGATGAAGCTGTAGAGAATTGGCCGGTGTGTGAATACCTGATAGCATTCTTTTCTGATGGATTTCCATTGGACAAAGCCATTGCTTATGCAAAACTTCGGAACCCTTTCTGTGTCAACGACTTGCCCATGCAGAAGGTGTTATGGGACCGGCGTCTCTGTTTAAAGATACTAGATCAGATGAGTGTCCCGACGCCTAAAAGACTGGAGGTTAACCGAGACGGCGGACCTACGCTTGAATCCCCAGAACTTGCCGAGCATGTATATAAGCTGACAGGGGTGAAACTTGATGGTCCTAGCGATGGTACTGGAGGAGGAGCATCGAGGACAATGAGCGTGAAAATGTCTGACGATGGCGATTCTCTAATTGTTGATGGCAAAGTGTTCAGAAAACCCTTCGTCGAGAAGCCGGTAAACGGCGAAGATCACAATATCCATATATATTTCCCCAACGACCAGCAATACGGTGGTGGTGGTAGGAGGCTTTTCCGAAAAGTCGGGAATAAGAGCTCTGAATACGATCCCGATCTTATTGTTCCCAGATCAGTGGCAGAGAAAGATACAAGCTACATTTATGAACAGTTTCTAAGGGTCGATAATTCGGAGGACGTCAAAGCCTATACGGTCGGGCCAGACTTTTGCCATGCAGAGACGCGGAAGTCTCCTGTTGTTGACGGGCTTGTTCGCCGCAACACCCATGGCAAGGAGCTCAGGTACATAACCAAATTGAGCAGGGAGGAAGCTGCCATTGCTTCCAGGATATCAAATGGATTTGGCCAAAGAATTTGCGGGTTTGACATGCTCCGCGTGGGAGAGAAAAGTTATGTGATTGACGTAAACGGTTGGAGTTTTGTCAAAGACAATAATGACTATTACGACAAATGCGCTAGTATCCTGAGAGACGCCTTTCTAAATGAGCAGCGCAAATGCGAAGGGATCCCAAAGCCCGTTGACACTCTTCCCCTGGATCCAGGTCACCCATGGAGGCAATCTATCTCTCACCGACACACCCTAAAGACCCTGCTGAAGTCGCCAAGTGCATCAAAGCTCAATGGAAGCCAAGCAGGTCTTAGAAGCCCCGACACAGGCTCCTCGGACTCGATTGCTACGAGGCCAATAACTTCGTCATCTGGAGAGAAATTTGACAATGGAAACAGCCATGTAGATCCCAATGGGTCAGACAAACTTGCAAATCCAAGGGCCTATGGACCGCAGGATTCTAAGTTGTTCATGCTGCCAATGGATCAGCCGGCCCAAGGGCCGCCGCCGCCGCCAGCTTCCAAACACTCATGGAAGCTCAAGGGGATGGTGGCAGTTATCAGACATGCAGACCGTACGCCGAAACAAAAGTTTAAGTTCACATTCCACAGTCAGCCTTTCATCGACTTGCTAAAAGGTCATCAGGAAGAGGTGGTAATAAAGGGTGAATCCGCACTAGCAAGTGTCTCGGATGCTGTCAAAGTTGCTATGGAGCAAAACCTTGAAGACATGGAGAAACTAAAATTACTCCGTACGTCTCTCGAGAAGAAAGGTGGCTGGCCAGGGACAAAGGTCCAGATAAAACCTATGTTTCGGAAGCGAAAACCAGAAGAACTACGTGGACAAGCATCCTCGGTCCTTCCGACCTTGCCTATCGAGCCACCCCAAGAGGACTCTTTATCTATTAACAATCATCCTTCCTCGGAAAACGATCAACTGAGCCGACCCCAGACACGAAGCGACTCGATATCTGGTGCAACCTTTTCGAGATTCTCTGCTGCAGAAAATGACCTGATTCTAGATAAACTCCAGCTGGTAATCAAGTGGGGAGGGGAACCAACACATGCGGCACGCTATCAATCACAGGATCTAGGGCTTAACATGCGTGATGATCTGAAACTAATGAACAAGGAGGCGCTAAATAATGTCCGTATCTTCACAAGCTCTGAACGAAGAGTGAGCACGAGTGGTAAGTCAGCATGCTGATTTTTCTGATTCCAAGCTGATTGGGCCACATAGCTCAAATCTGGGCTTGCTCTTTCCTTGATCAAAAGGAACTCCCCGAAAACTTCATACAAGTACGGAAAGATCTTTTGGACGACTCCAATGCTGCAAAAGATCTCATGGATAAGGTCAAAAAGAAGTTAAAGCTCCTTCTGAGAGAAGGATCCGCGCCTTCGCAGTTTACGTGGCCGAAGGATAACATCCCAGAGCCATCAGTCGTGTTGGCTACGGTCGTCGAGCTGATGAAGTACCACCGAGATATTATGAGACACAACTTCCGGAGGCTTGAAGAATCATCATCTCACACTTCGAGAGGGAATGGTGAAGATGAAGATTGTACACTTCCCTCCCAACATAACGTGGGATGCGAGACACCTTTGTCTTCTGTTCAAGGGCGGTGGTGTACTGGGGAGGATCCCATGCTTTTCAAGGAAAGATGGGAGAAGCTCTTCGCGGAATTTTGTGATACCGAGAAGGTCGATCCCAGTAAACTCTCCGAGCTCTATGACAGCATGAAATTTGATGCGCTTCACAATCGGCAATTTTTGGAATGGGTCTTCATGCCACCTGACAGTGATGACAGTGGTGATGAAAGATACGGCCAGAGCTCGAAGAAAGCCAAAAGAGATGACACTGTCGGAGATACTGGACTCGGTCACGATAAACATGAAGAGCATACAGAGGGTTCACATTTCGCGCATCGATTCGGGTGGAAGAAGCGCATGCATGCATTTGAACTAATGCCACACTTCAGGGCACTCGATGACAGCTATGACCACTACTTCAAGTTGTATCCTGGCTCTAGTCCAACCAAGGCCAAAATAGATGGCAGACTTTCGAAATTAAGAGAGTTATACAAACTCGCGAAAGTACTCTTTGACTATGTGACCCCACAGGAGTATGGAATTACAGACACAGAGAAACTGGAGATTGGCTTATTGACCTCATTGCCTCTCCTTCAGGGCATCGTGAGAGATCTAGAAGAAGTTCAGGCCTCGCCTGACGCGAAGTCTTTCTTCTATTTCACTAAGGAATCTCACATCTACACCCTCCTAAACTGCATCTTGGAAGGAGGCATCCAGACCAAGATCGCCAGGACTGCTATTCCTGAGCTGGATTATTTATCTCAGATTTGCTTCGAACTTTACGAAGCCAAAGATCGTGAATCGTCAACAAATTCTTATTCGATTAGGATATCAATCAGCCCGGGCTGTCATGCTTTTGACCCACTGGATGTGCAGCTTGACTCCAGACATGCCATTGGCTGCGCCCCAAGAAGGAGCCTGACTGCCCATCATGATTGGAAAGAGGTTATCGAAACCCTGAAGGCAAGATTTGACACGTAAGACAACCAAACCCACCTTTGAAATCATATACATGCAACTACAAAGGGCATCAACAGATTAATCAACATCACTTTCCAGGGTTAAGCTCCCCAAGACATTCATTGCCGTGAACCTAAGTGATAAGCACGGATCAACCTCTTGACGGTTTTTTGTGGAGGAGCATATATTCACCTTTCTTAGAAGGTTGTGGCCATACGTCAGCTTCTTTTCCTACTAACATTCAGTTAGGGATGATTTGCAATTACTTTACGATTTCACGGGTATTTTATATTACGGTATAAGAAGCATCTATCAAAATTCCTCCAATTGTAGGGTAATCTTCGTTCAGGAAGAACATAGCCGAGTACGTAATCAATTGAAACTCGACAGTACTTCATAGTGAATAGATACTTGGCGTCTACTCCCTTAGTATCATACATGCTAGCCTTAGCGGCTCCCGCTAATTTCTATCATGTCCTCAGCATGCTCCGCCAGAGAGGCTGATAATAAACCAACACTTGTGCAAAAAGTGCAGTACCTACATTGTCATCCCGCTTCTTTAACGTTTGATTCATCTGGGCTCTTTTTGCTTTTTCTTCCTCTTTAACACCTTTCATACCTTTCTGATAGTGAAGATCACTAGCAGCACCTGCCAAACATGGATTCCCCCGCTGTTTATACTACCGACGATGGGTGTATTGACTGTAACTCATGCTGCGATAGTCTCCGATTCAGATCCGACCAGCCTCAGAAAGAAATAATAGTTGATGTTCACAGCGTCATTTGCATAGTTCCCAAAGATAACTGCGGGGAAACAGTGTATTCCCTGCTATATCTCCGGAATGATGCGGAAGCAACCAACCTCAAAAGCGAGCCTCTGTTACTCGACAACATCTTGCTGGCCACAGTACCTAGACCGCTGTCGAATCTCTTGTGTGCCCAGTTGCCGCCTCATCTGTGTTCTTCCAGACTTGAAAGCGGGGGCCTTGATATTATTGTATCTACGACATCCGGAACGGGGACAGGAGTGACCTTCTGTAACAATATTCTACGCCCGCTGCTGTCACATCTCGGGATAAGTCAATATGAGATCCATGAGACTCAATCGACACAAACCATCACTGAACTATGCCATGCAAGGTTTATCCCTCGTGCTATGGAAAGACTTCCGCAGACCATCCTCCTCCTCTCAGGTGATGGAGGCCTGACCGACATAATTGACGCCTTCCACAGTACTATAGAGAGCCTGGCCGTCCCTCCAACCATTGCTCTCATCCCGACTGGAACAGGTAATGCTATGGCGAATTCGTTAGGGTTATTTGCGTATCCAACAACTGGACTGGTAGCTTTATTGCGCGGGACGCCAGCAAGCATACCTACGTTTTCTGCCGATTTCTCACCGGGGGCGCAATATATCGTTGACGAAGGCCGCCAAAAAGTCCCCATCTTTCGCAACTTAAAGAGTGATTACGAGCACCCCAGGGTTTACGGGGGGGTTGTTGCAAGTTGGGGTCTGCATGCTGCATTGGTTGCCGACAGTGATACTGCTGAATATCGCAAATTCGGGGCCGATAGGTTCAAGCTAGCTGCAAAAGAGATACTCTACCCCTCCGACGGTACAGAACCTCACAGGTTTAGAGGCGCTGTCACACTTTTTAAACGGGACAGCCACACTGAGAGCAAGCGTCAAGATCTCCTGGGGCGCAACGAGCACATGTATGTGCTAGCGAGTCTTGTCTCAAGTCTCGAAAAGGATTTCATGATTTCTCCGTTGTCAAGACCTTTGGATGGCCGTCTCTGGATGGTTCACTTTGGGCCAATGTCACCATCAAGTGTCATGGAAGTCATGACATCTGCATACCAAAAGGGCCAGCACGTAGGCGATGAAAACGTCTCCTACAACGATATCGAAGGATTCCGGATCGAACTTGGCGAGTTGAATGAGAGATGGAGGCGGATTTGTATAGATGGCAAGATCATCATCGTTGAAACTGGGGGTTGGGTGGAGGTACACAAAGATCCTAAAAGACTACTGAACATCCTTTTGCTACAGAATATTCCCAAACTAGGTTTGCAGTAACTGAAATATCATGCCATGAGATTACTAGGTTTAATGCAGTGGTTAGCAATCAGCAGTGTGTCCGATAAGCTAGGAAATCTATGATGTACGTTTTCCGAGGGACAAAAATTCAATAGCATTCTTAATAATGTGGCAGAGCGTAGATTAGCCTCAAGAGGCCATGTCCATGACTGTTGTCATGCCAGGGGTTCATCTAACAACAAACGCGCGGACAATCTTGAGTAAAGAGTAAAGAAGAGAAGTGAGGAGGAGTAGAGAACAAGCAATAGATGGAGAGGATCAGCCCAAACCGTCCTGGATTGATCAAACCTGTAGCGTAGCACTCCGTACGGAGCAGAGCGAAGAATATTGCGCTCCGTAAGAATGAAAGGCGGTCATGCTAGCGTCTGCCGCTATCGACGGAGCACTACTTTATATGCTCTTTCAGGGGATGATGACCGTGGAGTAACAGAGGTCTCGGGATACAAGGCAAGTACATTTTATACATCGATTTGCAACTCATCATTGACAGACTCTGAATAAACCATATGCAGAATTAATGAGGCTGTTCATAACAGTCACCGCCAGATTTTCTTTACTTGACCTTCCAAGGAAACCCGTCAGTCACTGTCTATGATGGGAATAACTATACTCAGATTCCATGTTCATATCTCCGCGAACATATACGGCGTCGCAAACACCAGATCAGGGACTACGCCTAGCCGCCAGTGAGAATCAACTGAGATACCAAACTCTTCAAGGGTGGCGTGCAGACTCGCCAGTTGCTAGCCGGACCCCTGAAATGCTACTGATCCATCAGGCTGGCAGTGTTCGCGTGGGTCAGGTTGTCAGGTCTGTAGTTCTCCCCCCCCTTCTTTGATACTGATTAGAAACCCCATCCTTAAGGCTATTCAAGCTGATCCGCGAATCCAATTAGATACACGTTGACATACACACCTGCGGCGGATAACATCCGCCCCTCGCCGGCTAAGCTATACGTCAAAGTCAGGAATACCTCTGCACTCCCCCTGCGGGCTGCATATCTCCATGGTCCATATAGTCTTTATGCATCATGCTATCCATCTACGTTTGATCCTAACCACAGCACCGGTCACCAAGGAACAGAGACAATCCCACAATATGAGCCGTACCTCAAGGCCGGAGGGACTTGGAATGCGATCCTGAATGTGCCGCAGAATGCTGATTTCAGCCAAGGGTCGTCAAACTCAGTTCAAACCGAGTATCATGAAAGTGCAACTTGGATCATCGAAGTGATATCCCAAGTCGTGTTTTCTAGCACAGCAACCGTCAACTTTGAACTTCTCGTTGGTCGCGATGAAAACTCGATAGAATCACCTTGTACCAGTAGCTTGTTTATTACTGGCCTCTCCAAAGCTGCCCAGCTACGTGATCACTGGTCATCCAAGACAAGAGGCAAGCAGGTGCTTGCTACCAAAGGTGTCTACTCTCGGTCTATCACTTTACTAATAGATGATACTGCTAGTCTTTGGAATACACCTCATCTTCCATCATCGGCCTCTTCTCACGAGGGGATGATGGAGGTTGAGCGGGGCCCATCAAGTGAGCAACAAAAAACCGAATGTCAAAAAAAAATCCACCTTGTTGTGTTGACCCATGGACTTCACAGCAATTTGGGAGCAGATATGCTTTACCTGAAGGAAAGTATTGATGCCGCAGTCAAGGTAGCTAAGGATAGGATTAAGAACGACAGCAACAGCCACGATGGCCAGCATAGTCCTGAGGGGTCGCGTGCAACTGAAAGGTAAGTAAAGCGTTGTTTTATGTAAATTCTGCAGCTTTTTGCGCAACTCTTTCCCCGCCTGGTTCTAGAACTAGTCGTGATGCCGTCTTTATCTTTTGTTCTATTCTCTCTGTTTTGCCGTTATTATCGTAGTCCCCTTCGTTTTCCATTGTTGTATCATTGACGGTCTCGCTAGGCTATACCCACATAGGCATAGTGCTAATATAGTTGATAGTAGGGGGCATTTGGAAGACTCCGATGACGAGCAAGTCATAGTAAGGGGCTTCCATGGAAACGCAACTCGTACGGAACGTGGAATACAGTACCTTGGCAAGCGTCTCGCAAAATATGTCCTGCAAATGACATGTCCGGAACAGCCTTTCGTGTCCCCGAAAGGTACAGGCAAGACATCCGGGCCATTCTCACCGTGGAAACGAGCAACGGAAGAGTCCTCCAAACCTGGTGATATCTACGCAGAACAGCCAATATGTGGGAACGGTGCCTATCAGGTCACCAGCATCAGTTTTATCGGTCATTCACTCGGGGGTCTCGTTCAAACGTACGCCATAGCATATATCCAAAAACACTTCCCTGATTTTTTTGAGAAAACCAGGCCGGTCAACTTCATAGCCCTGGCGACCCCGTTCCTTGGCCTCAGCAACGAGAACCCTATGTATGTTCGCTTTGCCCTAGATCTAGGACTTGTCGGTCGGACCGGCCAGGACTTAGGGCTTAGCTGGACAGCACCCAGAATGCGAAGTGGCTGGGAAACCATAATAGGAGGGAGAGGGTATCCCTCAAACTCCCAAGGACATCCAGATGCTAGATCTAAGCCTCTACTGAGGGTTCTTCCTTGCGGACCTGCTCATGAGGTTCTCTCAAAATTCCAGCACCGCACAATTTACTCTAACGTGGTCAATGATGGGATCGTACCTCTGCGGACATCGTGTTTACTCTTTCTTGATTGGAAAGGTCTCGACCGCGTGGAGAAAGCTAGGAGGGAGAATGGCATCGTTGGCACAATGGCCGAGTGGGGCTGGGCAGAATTGACGGGAGCTAATTCGAAGTCTCCAAGGACCCAACTGGCGAGTGAGTTAGAACTGACAGATGTTGGTGGCGAGAGCAGCAATGCGCATGGGACTCGGTCAAAGACAAATGCCCCTTCCCAACAAGATGTTGCAGTCGCTGCTGGTGTTAATAGCTGTTCAATTGATAAGCGATCTCTTGAGCCTCGTCGATATCCTGCTTGTGTCAAAGGCGATGCAAATTTCAGACGGAAGGAGGACTTGTCTCAATTTACACAAATGAGCCCGTTGTCCAAGATATTTTCAATTTGGCGACCGAGGGAGGCAGCTAAGACAAATCTTGGAAATAAACATGCGAGAATATACAAGCGCAGCCAAACCATTGACACGCTTCAGGACGATATGGCAGGATCTTCGACCAGTCCTCACGTTCGCGAATCGCCCGTTGGTAATCAATTCCATGATTATGGGCCTCATACGCCTCCCCAAACCACGCTCTTCGAATCAGCTAGTGACCTCCTTATGCCGCCTCTTCCCCCCGTGGATTTTATCATTGACCCTACCTCGAGACCAAGAACCATATTTCACGACCGCATCTATAATCCTGAGGACATGCCGCCCCCATTGGCTCCTAAACGGCGTGCATTGACATTGGGGTCTCTCCAACACAAAGCCTCGAATACACGGCCTGCCTCGAGAGCGGAGTCCCACGGAAAGCCACTGCCTGCCAATGAAATGGAAAATGGCCTCAAACTTGAGGAAAAAATTGCCAGGGCTTATCACCGTGACTTATCGTGGCGCAAGGTTCTTGTTCGCCTTGAGCCAGATGCCCACAATAACATCATTGTACGGCGGATGTTCACAAATGCATATGGATGGCCAGTGATGAAACACCTCGTCGATACTCACTTCGGGCATGCATCAATAGTCCGGTCCAATAGCGCATTTGATCGAGGCATTGAAGAGCCAAGTCCGTCTGTAGCGGAAACTGATGGTTATCTCTGGGTCGGTAAGTGATGGGGCTACATCGCATACATATGTACATAAAGACAGATACCTAGCACAATTACCTACATACATGGTGATATCCATTTAGGATAGATCTACACTCGATAGATTTGAGAGTTTATGACCTTTGATAACAGCCAATACCTAATAAACTGGGTGAATTGGCTCATCGGAAGCCTGCAGACATCCCTGATTTAGGTGCTCACCCCTAAGGCAGGCGCGATCTCTCTGGTGAGTATTTTTTTGCTGTCTCCATCAGTGGATTACTTTCCATCCAGATTCCTGGGTCACTATCTACCATGGCACCACCCGATTCTGTCAGAATCATAGGATCTCTTTTGTAGAATGGTTCCTCACAAGTACCATGCTCTAACCGGGATACTGACCTGACCAGGTACTTAGAGCCTCATGCGCGTGTGCCGCACAAACCAGATGATACCAAATCGAGTGGGCGGTACCGAAATCCTGACGGTCTGAGTCGTCGACCCCACCAACCGGCGGGGAAAGAAGACGACGAAAAGGAAGGAGGAGCGCGCATTGCGATTGCTCCTCTTGCTCGGCTCTTAACTGGAACCTAGTATCCCTCAATATGCCGACTGAGCTAGAAGAGGTAGGTAGAAACGGGTCTTCGACCAGAAAATTGGGTTCCTGGACGGAGACTGATATGTTCACTCTTCCTTAATCAGCTTGTTGAATTCCTACACCATGGGAATACGCCGATCAGACAAATCGGTAAGCTGCAGTACCACTTGCCTCCCTCCTTCTCTTGTCCCTCGCTTCCTCCTGCCGTTCTAAAGGCCGACTTATCTAGCATGCGAAAATTTGGTTGGCTTTTCAGTCTCCCAGCCGGAGCTTTTCAAACGCCACCAGCTCCTACCAGTGCGCGATCTGAAGCTCTTGGTCCGCGATTACACAGTCAGTGCCCAACTATTTCGACTGTACTATAACAATGATACCACCCAGGGCTAGTTGCTGATACTTTATGGGTGCGACAAAAGCCTATTGCCAAAAATGCTATAACGATACTTATCAACCTCTCGGCCGATGAGGAAGTGTTGGCTTCTCTTGCCGAGGACGATACTTTCATTGAAACGCTTTTGGCACAATTGACGGTGAGTTATCAAGTTGATGTTACTATTCATCGCGAAGCAGACAATATTCTAACACACGAGCCCGTAGAACATCAAAGAGCCAAATGCAGATGATGTCGCCATGCTATTTGCCAACCTCGCAAAATCAGACAAGATGGAGAGGTTGCTCACATTGAAGCGGAAGATTCCAGAGGCAGTGTCTAACTCTGTTAATGCGATCGATCAGCTGATGGACTGTTTTGTTAAAGGAGCCCAAGGCGCCCTTAACAAGAATGCCAATTTTGATTATTTGTCCTACTTGTTTGCCGACCTCTCGAAATTTGAGGAAGGGCGGGCCTATTTCACTTCTAAACAGGCCTACGACGATGTCGTTCCTGTAACGAAACTAACCGTGTTCACAGAGCACACGAGCGCAATCCGGAGAAAGGGAGTTGCATCGACTATTAAGAACGTTGCATTTGACTTGCCCTTCCATCCCAAGCTCTTTTCTGAAGATGACGCCAATATTCTTCCTTATATATTGTTGCCGATCATGGGTCCTGAGGAATTCGCTGAGGAGGAAGCCATGGAAATGCTTCCAGATCTCCAGCTGCTACCCCCCGACAAACAAAGAGATAGCGACACTAGCATCATTGTAACACATCTCGAGACCCTGCTGCTGCTGACCACAACACGCGAAGGGCGGGATAAAATGAGGGCCATCAAAGTATACCCTATAGTTCGAGAGTGCCATCTTCATGTTGATGATGAGGATGTTCGTGAAGCTTGTGATAGGTTAGTTCAGGTTTTGATGCGGGACGAAGAAGGCGAAGAAAAATCCTATCAGAACCAGATCGAAGGGAAGAGCAACATCGACTTTACTTCGCAGGACGATGATCAAAACATCGAGGAGCTATTTTGAAAAACTGCATGTGGATGGTGTATGTGTGTCAGAGGGAATCGGAAGTTGGTACCAATAGAAGACGCTACTAGTCATTATATACTCGGTACATTAGATTGCCAATCTTATACTCCAATTCTCCCGGTTTTATTTGTAATTGCTATTGCTATTATTAACTGGAAGCTCTGCAGGTCAGATAGGTCTTTACAGCAGGGTTAAGCTGGCCAAGTCATAGTTTCTTTCCTTCCCTGGATTACATTTTCTTCATCTGAATGTTGCGGGCAGGCCGACCCGTGAGTGTTCTAAGCCATCTGTTCATTTGTGAAGATTGCCGAGGGAGACTGACTGACCTCTCGCGGCTCACCCAAATGCTTGGAATGGGATGGGCAGAATAGGTAATTCAACTATCAACTGGGGGCTTCATGTGGTTTTGAACAAGTGCTTCTGATACGTCAGACCTAATTAAGCTTCGCCAGCTACTGTTTCATTAAAATCAAAACTTGTTAATGTATCTGTTGTTCCACCTAGCAATCCCTTTGTGAGAACGGTAATGTAAAAGTGAAATATTTCAGTATTGTATAGTACTATATGTGTAGTGAACTTTTGATTGTATTGTACGCTGGTTTCTGAACTAAGAGGTTTTAGCTTGCTAGGAGTCCTTGGTACCTTGGTCTCTCTCCAGTGCCAGGATATCCCGGCAGGTTTCATCTATTCATTCTTTTTAATTACACAGTACCTACCAGTACCCTTCCAAATGCCGCGGTACTTCATATGATGGTTCCTGCATGATTTGATAATCAGAATGTGTGCTTAGCTTTGAAAAAAATATGAGCACCATAACCGTCAAAAAGAAACACTTTCCAGGGGTTTGGGACATTTGATGCATATCCTCAAGTAAATTTCCTGTAGATGCTCACAGGCAAGTCATTTTCTGCCTCTGGTAGTATAAATCCATTACAAAGACTTCTAGAGCACTTGAGTTCAACAGCATTGAGACCTAATCTATACCCCCACTCTCCAGGGGTCTTTCTAGAGGGATTTCTAAGCAATATCAACTAGTAAAGCACGCTGAATCTCCTTCATCTGTGGTTCGTTGCAAAAGAAGCATGGTAGAAGAATCTGGATCGTCAGCAGGGTCAGATTGTCGATTTCTATTTACGGTTCTGTGAGTGCAGGAATGTGAACAGCTAGAGATGCTGATGTTAAAAATATCGGCGTTTCTGAATGAGGTGCCTGTGGACCAAGACCTAATATAGATTGAATCCATGAACATTACCTTGACATGGAATATTCATGACGAGCTGCTGTCTTGAGATTATATGTTGGACTAGGTAACACCACAATAAACAAAATAACATTCAAGATCTGGTATAGCCAAGATCATGAAACATAGATAGAAATGACCAGCAGATCCACATGTATAGGGTGTTGATGATCAAGATTACTCAGTAATAACACTTGAATAATACCAGGTTCAAGCGCTCCAGGCCATGGCTCAATCAACCATTCACTCCCGGGTCCTTTTGCTCAGATCTTCTTGCCTACCTTCAGTCTTCAGCCTTCATCGAAAGACTTGCCCAATAATGGAACCATCAGTGGAGGAGATGACAAGGCACAGTAACAATACCAAGTATGATGAACACTTGAAACCAGATATCTTAAACTAGATAGTTGACTTATGATGGCTGACATGACATGACGCCACCTCTGTCCGTGAGGATGATCCGCTTACATAAGGGAGCCATATTAGGGTCACACCCCTCCTGTCTATTTCAGGAATAGCTTCAGATTATATTATTATATCCACTTGAGATATATCTTTAACTTTCTTTTTCCATCTACAACTGTCTATCTAGGATATTTAGGGTGCTCAGAATAGTTAGTATTACTAGAAACTTTTTTTAGATTTTAATCAGAGGCTGAACAATCAGGGGTTATTATATACAATTCAATATGTAGAGTTTTATATTTAGTCACATAGTCACGTAACTCATCGCTAGATTAGTACTAGTTTTTATACTGATATAGTATTCTATTGGATGGGATGGATGTTATAGTCATACACAGTATAGGATTAGGGTAATAAAACATATAAATTACTACTAATCCGTAATTTTGTTTAGGCCGAAGGGGTGTGACCATTGCGCCTAATTACTCGGATGGGCTCCAAACACTAATATTCCAGACCTGGCATCTTGCCTTTTTAGTGATCTTTATTATTCTCTTGTTTTACAAGTGAAAGATTATAGTAGAGACTAGAGTAGACCCTTATACTTAAATATCTCTCTATTCTCTCTTTATTCTTGATACTCTACATTCTATACTTTAAACTAGAAGACGGCAGATGTGCTGCCCAAAACGGCCGCAATCGACGCCGTTTTTGGCCGTCAATCTGCCACGCCTTCCGCCACTCCCCCGTGCACTTTTATGTCCACGCACCGCTAAGCACTGATCGCCAACCCATCCAAACCTCATTTGTCCGCAGCGCAGTATACCTCCAGGCACACTCTTCTTCTGAGGCCGGCCAATACTAACTTCCCATACACGTCGCTACGGTCTCCAAAATGCGCCAAAAATGGCGCCCTCTCAACGGTACTATTATAAGCGGTGGCCGCTCGCTTGTGCACCCTTTTGCCCTTCCATTACTACATACACCCGAGTCTCTGATTCCTCTACTAGTTTCCCCAAGCCGCGGCCAAGCATTCAATGCCACAGAGACCTGAAGCAGGAGGGCTACCACAAAAAGTATTTTGCTGTTGACTGTATTATATCGTACCATGGCTCGCCGACAACCAAAGACAGTCGACCCATTATCCGACAACAGCGACTCTTCCGAAAGAGAGCACACCGAAGATGGTCAATATGATACGGACCTGACAGAGCCTGAAGACAAGGGCTCACAAGACAGAGATGTCAGCAATGCGGCACTTCTCTTTGCGGATAATGAGCATCCACCGGAGTACTATATCCAGCAACTTGCAAACTTCGATGAGACGGACTACACAACGGAGGACTATGGAAAGGATACGACTGCCCTACTCAATCGGGTAGAAGAGAAGTAGTCACAGTATGGCTTATCCTTCCAATCACTTATACATGTTTGCCTGACTCTGGTCGCCATAGATTCTGCACCTTTCTTCGGAAAGACCCCCGAGAGGAATTCACACGCCTGTCAATTTCAATCATATATACCTTCCTGGACTGGATCCTCAATCTATGGCGTGGAAAGGACGGGAGGCGGCTTCCAGGTATAAAGTGTAAGAGCTTACTCAACATCTTTTGGAAGGTGTTTCGCCTGGTGTATGAAAGAGAAATTTTGAACAAGATTACAAAATAAATGAACTGCCAGATGCGACGTGTATGTTTAAACGAACCTTTCCCAGAAGTACAGAGCTACAATACAGACGATTCTTTGTTGTTCTATACTAGGCCTGGAGCTGATACTATGATGTTTAGGTGATTCGACAGCTGGCCAAGAAACACAAACTGTCCACCAAGGGGCGCGACAAGCCTCTGATGGATGTCGAGGACTTGGCCAAAGTTGTAGAGACCATGGTCAGTATGACAAAGAAGAAGTTTGGCCATGGTTGTTACTGTATTGAACTGACACTCTTCCTGCAGCTTGCTGGCCTAACAACCAACCGTTCTTAGACCATTCTGAATTTACGGTATTGATATATTCAGGTTAGCTTGCTACGTGACCCTCAAGGCGGGCCTTATTGTATTATTATTGAGTTTACTTTTGAGTTCACCAAAGAATGGCTCGGTGTGAAGGATGTGTAACTTTGCAGTCGCTCTTCTATATTTGCGTCTGACCTATTCTTTAGTAATATATACATTCTATCTGAGATTATCTTTGATCCTTCTCTCGTTCTCAGCCCTTATGTTTTCTTACTGGGCTTGATCTTTGCGGACCGTGTCTTTGACTGTGTTGAAGGTGAGGAAGTCCTTGTTTCCGCAAGCCAGATCCCATAGTTTTGTATCTGTGATGAATGCAACAGGCTCCCGCTGCGAATCGATCTGGCACTGGATGATGTTTTTATATTCCGAATGTCAGAACGGATTTTATAAGGGATCTCTATATCCCCTGATAAGCCGCTTTCCTACGTGATGATTGAACCTTGGGTTAAGAAGATAGGGGTGATTATCGGCTTTCTGCAAGTCACGCGCCTGTATAGCTTGAGATATGGTGCCGGGACAGTATTAGATAGCAGCGGTACGTTACTCCAGCATATTGGCCTTTGATTCACATTAACTAATATGTTTTAGGATCTGTAAGTGATTCACTGCGTAACCTTATTATGCATTATGCTGACATCTGCACCTTTTTGTGCTATTATCTCAGTAGAAGGATTAATAAAAACCTTCCTGCCATCATTCGCGGTCTTAATCCTGAAGACGATATCATGCGTGCTGCATGCTGGATGAGCCGGTCTATTGATCCGAACCGCCTTCAGGAATTGATTACTGTACAATCATCCTCTGTTAATCAAGATCCTGAAATCGCTGACCTGATTTGCTGATGTGACAAGCTTAGTCGCTAAATGGGGCGCCCATTGTCCAATCATTATGGGACAGAGTAATATGCAATGTATAAGAAGCTGAACTAAGAGATCGCGGGTGCCAGGCAGCGAGTATGGAATGCATTGTTTACTCAGATTCAAGCAAAGTATGACCGCGAGTAATTGATGCTTGAAATCAGATGTCAGCTCTCTGAGTTCAACCTGGCTGAGGAAGAAAAGCCTCTCAAGTGTTCGGAAGCCGTACCACTGCCTCAGAAGTGACTGATTGAGAGTCTGCTTACTCTATCTCGCCCGACACTCGAGGAGGAAGTGGCTAGATGGATAGAAGTAATTGATGCTGTAGCTGTTTACGCTCTTTTTGAAGAAGGTGATACCTGCCGTCTTTTGTGCGATAAGCGTCCTCTTACAGAGCCTGCTGCCACTGGACTAGATGACGGTGTCAAAGGAGAGGTGGAGTGGACCCGGCCTTCTTTCCCGGTGAATGACAGACTGGTATCTGTGATTTAATCGGTAATGAAGGACAAGCCCTCTGAGAAGGGTATTAAGAGGCCTCTCTTCTGTTTTATCTGTTTTGGTCAGCAGGATTTGGATATTGTAAAGCGAATGTACAAATTTTCTAGCCATGGAGACGTTACCAAGCACATCAAGTGAAAGCATCTTCGTCAAATCTCCACGTAATCTGAGATAAGGTGTAATGTCTGCGACGAGATCTTCTCGTGTAAAATGTATCTTCAGCGGCACGCATTTGATATGCATTCAACTGTGACATAGCCTCTGCAATGACTGCCGGAATCATAGTGAGTAAGTGGTGATGAGATTCGTCACGATACTTGGATGTTCTTTACCAATAGACGTTCGGCAGTTTCACTTTGTAGACCAGATTCTTTATAATCAACAAATAGCCAGTCTGGCTCTAACCCTCTTATCAGGTACTAGCCTCAGGGTCTTTCCTTCTACCACCTGGCAGACACTCAGCTAGACTGACTGTATAGAAGGTAGCTTTCATTGGCTGCGGGGTCGCCTCCTGCTGAGGGTGGGTCGAAGCGGCCAATAAGCTGCGGCCTATCCTGGCACTCACAATACCAAAAATTGCCGCCCCGACACCGGCTCAGCGACAATCACAGACTTCATCACATGTTGAGTTGCTTCAGCTTTTCTGACACCGAAGCTCGTTGCTAATTAGAAGGCGCAGTTCCGTACGCGGAATATTCTACAGGATGACGTCGGTGAACTCTCGTCAGAATCGTGATAAACCCCATATTTCGCTAGTTGCAGTGGTGCCAGTCTAGATAGGTGAACAATTGGGACTTGTTTGTAGACCAAATGTGCGGGAATCCAGGCGAGGTTGTTCGGGTCGTTGGATGGCTATTGTGGTGAAAAAGTACGCGTTTTGGGGTCACGGGATGCGTGACGCGTGAGTGAGCCGAAGCAGGTGGGCCTTATCTGAGATGTTGGGGTCCGTTAAATGATTCCTCATAAGCACTGAGGTTCGCTGCGGTTGACAAAAGTCATATCCCCGCAGGCGTGCTCTGCATCCGGAACCCGCACCGCAGTACTCGCGATTAGTCTGTGCTCTAGACGCTCACAAAGTCCTCATCTCAGGAGCCGCCCGGATCGTCACCCGAAAAATCACTTTCACCGACACTTTGGTCAGCTGATACGTTACAAGCGGCGAAAGAAGCCACCGGATGGCGACAGACTCGTGGACACCGCGGCAGGATGAAAGAAGTGATGACCGCAACGTGGCAGACAAACCCACACGGGCGTGCAGTGTATGAACTGACGCCGATCCCAACGAGGGAGGTCTTGAGAATACACCGAAGTCTCCCGCGCCCCCTAAGCACAGTAATTGTACAAATGCGGATAGGGAAAATCGGGCTCCGACACTACCTATATCAACGCGGGGTGCCGGATATGCAGGACGGAGACTGCCGCTGCGGGAGGGCTACCCAGACTGTACGGCACGTTCTCCTCGCCTGCCCACTCTTCAAGAACCTACGCGAACAGTATCTAGCGAGACCGGGAGGAAGATTGGAAGGACGAGGAGACGTGAAAACAATACTGAATACGCCCGGGCTGGCAATACGGGCGGCCAAATTCATGCTACGAACAGGGCTCCTAGGGCAATTTGGAGCCGTACAGCAGGATGAACTAGATGAGGCAGAGCACTGAGGTCAACGGGTATATAGATGGAGAAGGGGACTTGGGGTGCCCTGGGCGAATGCCCCTTATTAATTAATTAATTTATTTATTTATTAATTCCTCAGGCTTTGCGCGGCCGAAGGCTGCATATAGCCTCCTAGCAAGTATGTACTGAACCTAAACTACCATAGCCTCCCTTCTGATTTTTTTTTTTTTTTGAACCGCTGTCTCTTATATTATTTCGCTTTCCAGTCTTCCAGTGCTCTCCACGAACCGGAGAACCTCTCGGACCACGGAGAGGTTGGGTTTCCATGACTTCGCTCCATCAATCGGCCGGCCATCCGCGCCGAACGCTCTACTTCTTCCCCCTAGTGCATACGAGATATCTCAGTATCTCGACCCCATCGCCGTTCTCATCGCCTGCCGGTAGGAGACCCATTTCGGACATTGAAAGAGAAAGTGCTCAACTGTCTCCCCTTCACTCCCGTCGTCCCCACACCCGCACGCATTGCTCTCGAGGTGGCCAGCCCTCTGGAGGAAGCGATTCAGCCGGACGTGCCCCGTTCGCAATTGGATTAACAGCACCGCCTGGGGCCTTGATAGGTTGTCGTAAAGGAGTTTCGTGTGCTCTCCGGGAAGGGCGGCATCGATGTTTCGCGTCCTCTGACCCACGCGTGTGGACTCGAACTCTTCCTTCGCCTGCTTGTCCAGCCTCTCGCACACTCGCTGCCACGTCGCGGGGGCCATTTGTCGCGGCGTATATTGTAGTGGGCGAATGCCCCGTGGAGCCAAGCCCTCGATTTAGGCAGACATAAGAGATAACGTAATCCACAAGCGAACCGGCCACACAAGCGAACCGGCCACCTCCCCTACATACGTCCGAATCAAGCACTTTTATAGACCCGAAAATTGTATTTTTATATAAAAATCAATTACGTACACGATTAGGACATTGCAATCGCTTATGTCCTAGATTATGACAATCACTGCAGCGTGGTGGCGCCCGTACGAGCCTTGAAGAGGTTGCCAGCCTGGTTTCGTCCGGTATAGATTCTGGCACTTGACGCGTGGATTCTTCTTGTTGGACGCGTTGTATCTCTTCCTGAGCTTCCTGGATGGTAAATCCATTCGTACGCTCAATTTGACGTCGAGAACGGGTCCGCTTTTGATAAGATTTCTCATTGGCAGCGCGTAATTCATGATTCTCTTGAGCCAGGATTATACTGCCATTCAAGGCTATTTCAAAGCCTTTAAACACCTGTTCCAGTGCCTTGTCTGTTGGACTTGGTGGACTTTGCGTACGCTGCCGAAGAAGACGTTTGATCGTGGACACTGACTTTTGTAACTGACGGGTGTTATAAGGCGTTTTAGGATCAGATGTAGATGAGCGTGTGGGAGGTGGTGTCGGCGTACGAAGCTTAATATTAAGCTTACTGAGCACTCGTTCTGGATCCAAAGGGACTAATCCAGCTGCTGCAAAGCCACTTTGAATATTTTCAGGTGTATATATCTCCATACGAGCAAGCGGGAAGGCCTCAAGGAAGTCAAGCTTGTCAATATGATTATACCCGAGCCGGGCCTTGCCCTCAATCAGGCGCCCGTACGCTCGTTTTAAAGGTGAGAAGCATCCAACATCCAGCGGTTGTAAGAGATGAGATAAATGCGGAGACATACAAATAGAAATAATATTATTCTTGCTGCAAAGCTCATCAAAACAAGGCATCAAATAGCTGCCATGTCCATCCAAGATTAGTAAACAATATCTGCCAGTCGTACGGCCATTTGTAGCTGGAATAAAGAACTTCTCTAGCCATTAAAATATGATTTCATCTGTTGTCCATCCATTATTACTAACTTCAATCCGCTAATCAGGTGGTAATGATGTGCCCTCATACCATCCTTGTATATAAACCTTTCCTTTAAAGATAATACAGGGCGGGAGTGCCCAGCCTGTACAATTGACACATTCAATCGATGTCACCCATTCTCGATTCCCTGGTTGTACGAGCAAGGGCTTGCCAGTCATTTCTGTTCTAATAACTACTTTGGCAGTAGATATTAGACCTATTACAAAGCCTGTCTCATCAAAATTATAGATATCTTCTGTTTGGATCTCATGCTGCATAATCATCACTCATACGCGTGTAAACCATTCATTTATGGTCTTCAGATCTTCGCATTTTGCTCGTTGATGATTATAGCGTTGAGCATATCTGGTTTTGAGCTCTGTACGTCGCTTGACAAAGTTATATACCCAGTTTTTGCCAACAACTGGGGCTGGAATCTCTCCGCGTTTGGACAAGATAAGATCAGCAATTTCTCGTACGTGTCGGGGCCGGGGCGCTGCTCCGCGTGAATCTAGAGATAGGATCCACTGGACAATTGATTCTTCTTCGAATGTAGTCAATTTCTGGAAATTAGGTTGGGTTTCCGTACGAGATTTAATCCCGTGTAGTCGTTCTTGCAGGGTAGTCCTCGGGATATTATAAACACGAGCAGCTTCACGAATTGAATGTATTTGATTATTTTGAATAGCAGATATTGCAAGCAGGATTTGACCTTCAGGATAAGTAGATTTTGAGCGTTTTTGAAGCTTTTTTGGAGGCATGATGGTGGTTTAAAGATAAGTTAAAAAAGCAGACGCGTACAAAACGCGTGGGTGGCCGGTCCGCTTGTGTGGCCGGTTCGCTTGTGGATTACGTTATAAATAGGTATTACTAACCACCCCTACCGTCATAAGCAGTGGGGTGGTTCCCGCATAGCCATCAACTATGATAGGCTAGGACAGCGAATGAAAAGACCGAGACCGAGACCGAGCTGATACGTTACGGCGACCTCTCCGCATGCCCGCCTAGATAAGCGTCAATCGAAATCAACTAACACTTTTTGATAAACAGACATCAAGCAAATGGACAACAGCAGCCCGCCAGACTACAAAGCGCTCTTTTTGAGAGCCGAGGAGGAAAAGAAATAGGCTGAGGAGGAACGCCAGCGGGAAGCAGAGCTTAGGAAACAAGCAGAGGAACGCCAACGGCAAGCAGAAGAACACCAGCGGCTAGCAGAGCAGGAAAGGGACCAGGGAAGAGAAAAAACACGACAAACAACCTTTGCTGAGCTTATTCATTTCTGTCACGTCTACTTTTCTCGATCTCTGCGAGCTGAAAGTCTGTCTCATTCTATAACAGGGAAGATACCAGCGCCTACTGGGAAACGCTGTCCGCTGCAGCTTCCGCACTAGACTAACTATGCAGCCGAGCAGCAAAAGGTCTATCACTCTGTTTGCGCCTATCTTATATTATCCAGTCAGCCTGCTGTATGTTTATTCTCGCCTCACCTTACACTAGAGGACTTGAGATAATAATTTAGCAAGAGGGTAATAAACAGTGAGCAGGATTTAGAGAGCTACAAGCAGTTCAGTGTGGAGGATTATATTTATAATATCATCATAAAGCTCTATAAGATACCTGCTGCTCGAGAAGAATTTTGCTTAGGTGATGTAATTTAGTTCGACAACCATACTAACGCCCTCGATGTAGTTGATGCCGACCAGTCGCAGACAGATAAATCGTCAAGTTCCGGATGTTTCCGACCAGATCAATATTGTATATACTGTATTGATAATAATAATAATATAATTATCATAATAGTTGAGTATAAGCCGCCTCATAAACTATCTGTAAAGAATCTTCAAGCAGGTTTATAACCAATACAGTTCTGGAATGAGATGGTCAGACCAGACTCTGTTTCCATAGAGAGACCTGAAAAATTAAGATATAATACAGTCTGATTAACCCGCTCGGCTGTGATTTAGGAGTATTATATCATACTTCAGAAAAGGCTCAAGTACTTATATTTAATTAATAAATTTATAATTATTTTACTACAGATCTTTTATAAGAATCTGGGTATCTTATATTATTATCTTTATAAACCTAATATAAAAGTTAATCTGGATAATAAACTAAATTCTTTATAACAGCTGTTAACAGCTATTACTTGGATATTATACCTATATCTTATAAGTTTCTACTTATAATATTATGATTAAAAGTAGCAGAATATTATAAAGAAGCTGCCAGAATAGAAAATAAGTTTTAATTATACAAATTTCTAGATACTGGAATCAGAATTATAATAAAACCTGTCTAGCTTAGAATATACAGTATTAGAGTATATAAGCTCTAAACTTACTATATTAGAATATATATTGTCTTTATCATCTGTTCCATTCTTTGCTGACGCCTGTTAAATACCTATCTGGTCTTGAGTTAGCTGTGTATTACCGAATTTAACTTTATGTAATGATTCTGATTTTAATACAGATCAAGCTTTAGAAGAAAGAAAGTATGATTTCAGTCAGGTTTCATCATCTTTTTTGTCTCTATCTGCTCAATGATTAATATGTCTGGCGGGATCTTGATATATTTAGTGGACAAGGTTAGTAGTATATTATATAGTTTTATATCTAGAAATATCTACATAGCCTGTAACATAGTAGTCAGTTGGATGATAATTATCTAAATATTATGCTTTACTAATAAGAAGGAAACAGTAGCTAACACCCCATTAATGTTAAAACACTGATTAAGTAACTCAAGTAGTAACTAGATGAAAATATCGACTGAAACTGTATATCTCTGAGAGATTGTAATGTATTAAGAGTCCTATTTAAAGTCACCTGTGTGATATATGGATATACTATGGTCAGTAAAAAAATGATTTTTTGATGGTAGGAGGAGGTCAAACATGAGGAAGTTATATACCGTATACTTAACCAAGTATAGGTGTCTACTGTTCCTGTTTTCCTGGGGCTAATCAATTTGGCCAAATCCTATTTTGTACATGGAGCTGGCGAGATCTGCCACATGCTTATCATGGCTTGGGGGGGTGATCCTATACCTGAGATTGAGTGTGATAAGAGGATATGTGAGATTGCGAGATCTGAGAAGGAGATTCCTTCTCTGGAAATCTTGTATCGGGATCTCCGGCTAACCAATATTCTATGGAATGTTGAGCTGGGATGGGCCCTGATCATTGACTTTCACTATGCGGAACTAAATTATTAATTGATGAAAAGGTGGGTAGAGTCACGTGGGAAGTATCCCTATAAAGGAGAATTGTATAGGTGAAAATGATTTTGTATTGTCTAAAATTTAATGTTAATTTCCTTGAATCTTTTTCTTTACTTTTGAAGGTTATTATTGAATGAATAGTAAAGGAAGAGCAGGCGACGTTAGTAATGTAATATCTTTTATGAAGATTTTATAATCTCTTTTTTTCTTTTCTTCTGGTTCTATTATTTAGCATATATAAACATCTTGAGCATAATTACAGTGATTTAAAATCCCAATATGATGTTTATTTGTAGGTAGTATGTTAATGGTGATTTGCTAGCAGATGCTGTTAAAATTAATTCCTGTTTCTTATGTCTGTCTGGTCACAAGTGTCGAACCCAGATAATAAAGACTGTTGGCTTTATAAGTGGACACCATGTGTATCAGATGTCAATAGAAGGATATTGAGACCTTAGGAGCCGAACCTTGTTCCGGAGAAATCTGATGAGGAGCGCATACTGCATCCGGCTGGTATAAAAGCAAGACTTGTCTTTGCATCATGTATCACTTTGGCCTATCATCACTCATGGAGGAACGAGTGTATCATGAACTTTACTTTTATTGAATTGATTACTGCATAATAAGGTGAAATTCCTGGTATCATATCCTGGGTTTCTTACAACTCAGGCAATATATCGGAACTATCCTGGGACATTGGGACCCCTGGGCGTTAGTTGGCCAAGAGAGCAATGTATCACGCGTGATAAGCTATACTGCTTGGGTATTAGTATAGCAAGTGACTATGGGGTCTGTGGATCTGGGCAGATTCCGGATGTAAGTCTCCACCGCCTAACTCACCCCGGGTGATCATAATGCTCGACATCCTGCGGCTAGGTTGTGTTTTACCACTACGCGGCCTACGCCGATTGACGCCGATTGTGGGAAGTGATGGATGCTTGTTTGATTTGGTGGCCGGTACAGCCTCCTATCTAAAGATCACTAGCTAAGTAATGGCTAAGCAATGCCCAACCACAGGGAAGGCACAAGGAGACGTCCGTAATACGCGTCTTTACCACATCATTATCCATAATCAAGTTCTTTATATGGTAATATTCAAAGAAACCCTTTAGAACAGACCAGTTAGAACTTGAATGATTCATGAACATGTCGAAGTAACTATCATAATTAATAATAAACGTGAAAACGCCCTGCAAACAAGCGAGAGCTACTGGAGCTAATCTTTAAAATACCTGAAACCAAGCGCTGCGGTGTCCACAGCGTGAACCATTTTCTACCGCAGCCGGAATTTGATATACCGAGGTATGGTCGATACTTATATGTACTACGAACTATTTAATAATAATAATAAGAACGGGTTCAGTAGTAAATACTCAATTAATGCCTTTCTTTTTTTTCTGGAAGGGCTGGTGTATCTCCTGACTCTGATAAAGGCTCAACCTGGGGCATAGTATCCTCCAATACCTCCTGGATAGGAGAAGGATAGTATAATGTTTACGTATATTAACTTTTATTCTTGGAGGAGTAGATTGAGTATACTATACCAGATTAGACAGAGTAGCGCTCTACTAGCTTGGTGAGGATGAATTAAAGAGATATATTTGTCTGGTTTTTCAAATTTGAACAGCCATAAATATATCAGACTCATATTTAAGACAGAATTCTGCTACTTTTTTAAACAGAGTCTTCCTCCGTCTCTACTGTTGTTGTGTTTTTGCTTGAAAGTCTTAGTACAATATTTATTCATTTAAGAAGATTGCTTGGACATACTGCAGACTTTGATGTAAGATTATCTGAGATTTTTATTATTCAAAATATATATTGGGGCTTTTTATATATTTTTTTTATGAACTTTGGAGGTTGCTGTACTATAATTAAATTATAAATATAGTTTTATAGGCGTGCTCTGCTTTAGAGGATCCATACCACAGTAAAAATTATTTTTGATTATTGTTAAATTATAGTATAAGAATCCTTATGACTGCAGACTTTTCTTTATTCTTTATATTAATCCTTCTTGTTTTGTTATTTCTCTTTATACAGATAATGGATATATTGGCTATTTATGCAATTACCGCTGGCAGTATTTTTGCAGGATTATTCCTTATATCAATTATCTCCAGTCTTGCTAATTAGATAAATCTATTCTCTGATTTAATATCTCGATACTTGATTATCTCTTATATTGTTTACAAACATTAACTTTAGGACCCATAGTCATAAGCTAGTATTATATTTCATATAATATATATCATAATAAATATCTTCTTTATCCTCTTCCGAATAACATCACTAATAAGTACTGGCTGCCGGACTAAAAAGTTAATCTTAATCAATCTAATTATCTCTTTATCAGCTACCTACCTGAGCTTCTTAGCTGATCTTCTTGATATTAAATAGCATACTTATTATAGAATTCACCGTGCTATTAGTTAAATGATCATTATTCTGTTATTATTTTATATAATTGTAATAGTATAAAACCAATAATTTAGCTTCTTAATGAATTATGAAATATAGTTACCCTGATTATATATTCTTCTAATTCTTCTATTTATACCAGCTAATAGTAGCTAGGATACTGTATCTCTGGATATCCTTACTCTGTATATAAATGCATGGTTATATTAGTGATTTTTCAAGATTTTCCTATAAAAGCATCAGATCCTGACTATAACTTTTATAATATCTTGCAGCACCTTTCAAATAAAAATATCTTTTTAAAGCTTTATCTCTAGATTATGTTAAAAGTCTTAAGACTAATTACATGCTTGCAGCTAGTGATTCTGTTATATTAGAACAGATTATTTGTAAACTAGAGTACTTTTAGAGCACTTATATTATTTACTTTTTTAAAAATAAAAAAGGAAAGCTCATAATAACAACTTCTCAGATCCATATCTTATTACCTTAACTGGTGCAGGTCAAGATTAGATAGTATATCAGTCTCTGAATACCATTAATAAGTTTATAAGTATAGATACAAATATATTTATTTATAATCATATCATAGTCTTAATATAGGTAGAATACTATAGAGCTTCTTATATAATCATATTCGATTTATCTATAATTCTTACTTATTATGTGTTACGGACCCCTGCTAGCTGAACGACTAGTGAGGCGGACACGTCAGGCAGAAGGCTACGCCCGGACAGATGAGGACTCTTATCAAGTAGAATCCTGATCTGAGTAACCGACAACCGGAGCCGTTACACGGCACGTGACCATGATGGACATATCACTGATAAGCTATAATATATCAGTGCTATGACAGGATATGACAGCACTATAAAATAATATATTAAGTGATATAACATGACATGGTGATATCATAATAAAGAATAGGATAAAAGAATACTCTTTTATGTATCTAGCTAGTTCTGTTCTTCATGCTCAATTTATATTATCTTTAAGTAACCATATATTTTAATAAAGCTTAACAACAATACTCATCCGTACTTACTTACGGATAGCTGCGCGGCACTATCTGGTCTTACTTCTCTTCTCTTGTTTAGGACTAGTCACCTTTAGATAGTCATCAGTCTGACTTACCTTGATTCAGTTCGAAGGTACGTATCGGAACGGGAGCTAAGCTAACAGGAACAGAGAGAAGCGATCCTAGGGTTTG